CAGGAATTAGCATGCTAAAGAACCTGCCCCAGCTCTGGTTTGGGCTTATTTATCCCGATCTTTGACCATCAGGGTTGGGTTTTTTCCCCCCCTCAGCCTCCCCTGGTTTATTCGGTGAGATGCTCTCTGAGATTAAGAGCTTTAAGGTTACCAAAGAGCGGGAAGATGGGAGCCGAGGGCCCTGTCGTGGTGTGGAGGGTCTCCCCACGGCGTCGGGCCTGGCAGGTCTGCGCCTTGGCTGCCAGAGCGGACCCGGGCGGATGGTCCTTCGGGCTTTCTGGGGGCTGATTGAAGCTCCTTCGGGCTTTGGGCGCGTTGTCCCCATCCAGAAGGCGCGAGAAGTAAAATAAATGTCTCATTTTGCTTTTCGAGATACTGTGGCCCATGTCCCTAAGCCTTCCTAATGGGCCTGGGCTGGTTGCGGATGATTAACCTGAAGTGAAACGGGGCCTGCTCCTACACGGGCTTTCCCAGGCTTTAAACGGGACGATGGGGGGAAACTTTAGACTGGTGCGATGCTGGACCGGAGCCAGGCTGGGTTATTGTTAAAGTGGATCCAAGTTTTGATCCAGGTTTTGTTTACACTGAGCCAACTGAGTTGATGGACATCCCTCCCTCTCCGCGTACCTGAATTAGTAACAATGTGCGGTTTCTGCCCCACGAAAATGCCTTTTAGTGAAGGGGGAGGAACATGAGCAGCTCAGATGGAGTTAAGGGTTGCTCGCATTTGGAGTTTATGGATTTCCGTAAGTTATTTTAACTATGTCGAGATATTTCAGAGCACGAAAAAAATGCGGAGGCAAAAAATGCACCGCAGCTTTTAATGACAACATTGCAAGGAAAATAAAAGTAACGTGCCCCGCGGGCAGAGGCAGCGAGGAGATCTGCTCTGAGGGAAAGCGCGCTCTAAAAATAAATCTTTGAAGAAACCATGTTGGTCTGTGATTGTTTCATTAGGGAGTTTCATAATTTTTCTGCGAGGTAAATGCAGTGCAGGCATCTGATCGTTAAAAAGTGGGGGTTTTGTGTAGAACTTGGTAAAACCCTTCTTTTCTTTTTGTGTGGAGCTTAAAGGAAAAGTGTAAAAGGGGCTTCTGTTGCGCATGAGAGGCCAGAATTCTTGTGTCTCTGGTGAATGCAAAAGATTCACCTTCTCGGTGCCCTGAAGGCAAAGCCGTGGGCTCTGCGGGTGGTTTGGAGAGTCCAGCCCGGCAGCGCTCTGTTCCCGGGCTGCTGACCCCGCTCGGAGCGGCTCAGGGCGGCTCTCCCAGCCGCTTCGTGGCATTTCCCTCGGCGTACCACGAGAACCGGCGCCGGGCAGCGTGGATGAGCGACAAGGCGGAGGGTCTGAGGGGCAGGAGCCATTAACCTCCGAAGGGCCCGTCAGGGTCGCGGCCAGTTCTCGGTCGGAAAGCGCCAAGAAACAGGCTGAGGAGGAGCGGCGGGAAGCAGCCGGGCCTGGGACAGACGGCAAGTCTGGCCTGGAAGATCCAACGGGCCACGAGAACCGGCGCCGGGCAGCGTGGATGAGCGACAAGGCGGAGGGTCTGAGGGGCAGGAGCCATTAACCTCCGAAGGGCCCGTCAGGGTCGCGGCCAGTTCTCGGTCGGAAAGCGCCAAGAAACAGGCTGAGGAGGAGCGGCGGGAAGCAGCCGGGCCTGGGACAGACGGCAAGTCTGGCCTGGAAGATCCAACGGGTGGTTTTAGGTAAATCTTTGTTTTCTCTGGCTGCGGCCTGCGCTTAGGAGCATCGGTGGCTCGCGGCACCTGGTTTTCCCACCCGCCCTGCCCTGCCCTGCCTCGCCGACAGGCAGCCTCTCCCGTGC